GGAGAAAAGAAGAAAAAAGACAAAAAAAAAAAAAAAAAGAAAAAAAAAACAAAGGAAAAACAAAAAAAAGAAGAAAAGAAAAAATAAAAAAAAAGGAAAAAAAGAAAGAAAACAGAATAAAAGTCGAAAGGAAGGAGAAAGAAATAGAAAGACAGACGACACAAAAAAAAAAACAAAGACAAAAGAAAGAAAAAAGGAAGAAAGAAAAGCAAAATAGAAAAGAAAAGGAAAAGAAAAAATAGAAAAGATCAGATAAAGACAAAAAAAAAAAAAAAAAAAGAGAATCAAGGTGAAAGATAGTGCAAAGAAGAGATAAAAAAAATAAAAGAGGAATAGGAAAGAAAAATGAGGAGAAGAGAAAGAGAAAAGGATAAGATATAAAAGAAGAAAAAAAAAAAAATAACAAAAGGTAAAAAGAGGCAAGAGATAAAAGAGCAGAAAGAAAGAAGAAACAGTAAATAAAAAAAGAAAATAAAGAACGAAAGAGAAGGAAGCAAGCAAAAAAGGAAGAAGAAAACAGTGAAAAAGACAAGAAAAAAAGAAGGAAGAAGAAATAATGAAGGGAAGAGGTAAAAAGAAAGAGAGCAAGTATAAGGGACAACCAAAGAAAAAGAAGCAAGAGAGAAGGAAACGAGGAAGAAATAGAAAAAGAAAAAATAAAAAAGAAAAAAGGAAAAAATGAGAAGAACAAAGAGGGAGTGCAGAAAAGAAAGAAAGCAAAACACAAAAGGGAGAAGGAAGAAAAATAAAGACAGCAGAAAACAAAAGATAAGAAAACAGGAGAAGAAAAAGGCAAACAAGGGAAGCAAGAGAGAGAGAAGTAAAGAAAAGAAAAAGACAAAAAGAAGAGAAGAATAAAAACAAAACAAAAAGAAAAAGGCAAGACTAGATGAATACAATGATGAAGAAATATGCCAAGACAAAGTGGAAGCAAAAAGACAAAAATGCGAGAGGAACAGCAAGTAGCGAAAAGGAGAAAAGATGGAAAGAAAAGAGCAGGAAATAAAGGAAGAATTAGCCGAAGGCAAAAGTAGAATGAAGAAATAGGAATGCGAGGAAAAACAAAGGAAGATGAGAAAAAGAAGGTAACGACAAGGAATAAGGAACAAGACAAGAAAAGAAGATAGAAAAGAAAACAGAAGGAGCAAACAACAAGGAAAGGCAAGAAGGAATTAATGAGGAAGAAGGAAGACAAGAGAAATAATTGAAAAGAACAGAAAAGGCAGTAAGTAAGGAAAGCATAAACTTGAACGCAAGAGAAGAGAGTAAAACAAGGAAAGAGTAGAAAAGGAAAAGACAGAACAGAAAAAACAAAAATCAAGGTAAAAAGAAAGACTAGACAAGGCAGCAGTGAATAACAAAAAAAGAACAAGGATGGAAGGAAATCGATAGGATAAGACATTTACAGAATAAGAACAGATAAGATAAAAGGAAAATTAGAGCAGAAAACAAGAAACGACGAATACGTTAATAGAAAAATGAAAAAGACAAAGAGAAAAGAAGACAGAAAAGAAACAAGAGACAATAAAGAAAAGAAACAGGATAGGAAAAAAAGAAAAAGAGGCAGGAAAAATGATATAAAGGAACAAAAACAAGAATAACAGATAAGAAATTAGAACAGAAGGGAAGAAAAAGAAGGAAGTAAAGGGAGAGAAGAAGAAACAGGAATGAAAACAGAAAGTGAAACGTAAAAGAAGATAGCAGAAGAAGAAATAACAAAAAGGAAAACAGAGGAAAAAAAGACGCAAGAGTGAAAAGGACAGTAAGAAGGAAGAACAAGGAGAGCAGAAGGAAGGAACCGAAAACAGCGAGTAGGAAAAAACGATCAATACAGAAGAAAAGAGTAAAAAGATTGAACAAAGCAAAGAAAGATATGAGACCATAAAGTTTAAAAGAGAGAAAAGGGAATGAGAGCGAACGAGAAATAATACGGGAAATAATAACAGATAACGGCAGAAAGAAAGTCAAGAAGAAAGAGAGAAAAGAGCAAAAACGAGAGACAGGACAATGTAAGAACAGGTAAAGATAAACAAAAGATGAAGACGTAAGATGAAAACAAAAGATAGAAAACAAAAAGGATAAACAAGACATAAGAAAGATAAAAGAGGAGAAGCAATGAGAACGGAGAATAGGTAACAGAGAAAGGGAAAAAGAGGGACAGTAAAAAGAAGGAAAAGGAAATGTGAGAAGGACAGCGGAAGAAATACGAAATAATTAAGAGAAGATTAAGAAGGAATTAAGATAAACAGCAACACACAAGATACATGAGATGAAAGGAAAGGAGAACGGGAAAAAAAGAAAGGAGACAAGCAATGAGGAATGAATGAGAAAGGGAAAGGAAAGGAGAAAAAAAGGAGCAGACATGACAGTCGAAAAACAAGGGAGAGGCAGCAAGAGGAAAAAAAAGAAGGAAAAGAGAAGAATGACAAAAGACAGATAAGCAAGAGAAAGGAAGTAAATAAGAAAAGAGAGAAGAAGGAACAATGGGAATAAAGAAGGAATAAGGAGAAGTACAGCACAGAGAAAGAGACTAGGAAAGCAATAGAACAATATGCAACAACAAGACAAGACTGGAAAAGTAGAGCAGCATCAGAGAAAGGTAAAATGGAGAAGGAATGAGAAGTAACAAAACAACAGGAAGGAAACAAGAAAAAGTCAAGAAGGAGACCAGGAAAAAGGCAGGAAAATAGATCAAGTGTGAAGAAAGTTATAGAGTAGATATAAGATAAGAAAGAAGAGGGAGAAATAAGCTGCAATGCAAAAGAGGAAAAACAGAGAAGAGGTAGAAAAAAAAAAAATGATGAGAAAAGACATAAGAAAAAGGGCAAAAAGAAAGATAGAAGAAAATGACCAACAAGAGGACAATATAAAGAAGTTAAAATAGACGAAGAAGAGAAAGAAAAAAACAGGAAAAGGAAAGGACAACTAGCAACGAAAGAGGAAGAGAAAAAAGAATGAGAAATAAGGAAACAAGCTCAAAAAGGATAAGGAAATAGCTAAAAACAGAATAAGCGAGAAAAAAAGTGAATGACAGGAGGTAATGATAACGAAAAGGAAAGACAGGACGCAGTAAGGAAATGATGAGAAAAGAGAAAAAGAGGAAAGATATGGAAGAGAAGGGACAACAAGGCAGAAGAAGAAGTAAGAGCAAGAGAACAGTAGGGAAAGTAAGATAGCAAGAGACGCATAATAAAAGACAAAAGGTGGAAATACGGAAATGGAACAGAAGGCAGTAAAACAGGAAGAAGTAATAGAGTAAGAACAGGAGAACGCACACAACAACAAAAAGAAGAAATAACACTAGGAAAAAGAGAGGAGAAGAAATAGGAGAAAAGACCAAAGAGCAAGGAAACACGAAACGCAATGATAGGAACAAGAAAAGGAAAGAGAAAGGCAAGGTAAAAAGGAAGGCAGAATAAAGAAATAAGAAAGGTAAAGAGGAGAGATAAGAAAGGAACAACAAGACAAGAAGCAACAGAGGAGAGAGCAAGAAGGAAAAGAGAGAGGGAGAAAATCAGTAAATAAAAAAAGAAAATAAAGAACGAAAGAGAAGGAAGCAAGCAAAAAAGGAAGAAGAAAACAGTAAA